ATATCGCAGGTTGTTAATGAGTCTTCCTCCAATCCTGATGCCATGTTTTTCTTCACAGAACCCAGCTTCTAGGATTATTTGCTCAGTATACAGGTTGAATAAGTATGGTGAAAGAATACAACCTTGTCACACACCTAAATTTTAAAACATTCAGTGTTCCCATGTTCTGTTCGAACAACTGCTTCTTGGTCCAGGTACAGATTCCTCATGAGCACAATTATGTATTCCAGAATACTCATACTTCACAATTTGTCCATAGCTTGTCATGATCCACACAATCGAAAGCCTTTGCATAGTCAATAAAGCACAGGTAAACATCTTTCTGATATTCTCTGTTTTCAGCCAAGATCCATCGGACATCAGCAATGATATCTCTCATTCCACGGCCTCTTCTGAATCCGGCTTGAACCTCTGGAAGTTCTCTGTCAATGTATGCTTGCAGCTGTTTCTGTATTACCTTTAGAAAACTTTACTTGCATGGGATATCAAAGAGATTGTCCAATGATTTCCACATTCTGTTGGGTCACCTCTCTTTGGAATGGGCACAAATATGGATCTCTTACAATCAGTCAGCCAGATAGTTGTCTTCCAAATTTCTTGGCAGAGATGAGTGAGTGCCTCCTGTGCCGCCTCACTTTCTTGAAAGATTTCCATTTTTATTCCATCAATTCCTGGTGCCTTGTTCTTTGCCAATTCCTTTAATGCACCTTGGACTTTATGATCAAGAGCCAATGATACTGAATGATACCTCTTGAAACGGTTGAACATTAACCATTTCCTTCTGGTACAGTAACTCTGTGTATTCCTTCCATCTTCTTCTTCTTCTTCTTTTTTTTTTTTTTTTAATGTTTTATTGTGAATTATATGACAGTTTACATGGGAGAACATTCGTTTTACATTCACTCTATCGTATATCATTTCATTGCCATGGTTATAATCCCCTCCATGCCTCATCAACCAACCAAAGGGTATACACTACAAGCCTGCACCCCAGGGGTCAGCACACAGCCCCTCTCCCTCTATGGATCTAAAGTCCCCAGCTGCTCCATCTCTCCACGTCATCGTCTCTGCCTCCATCTCTGGTGTCACTGCTTCTCTGGGTAGTGTCCCTCTCTCCACTCTTCTCCCTTGATGGTCCCAGGGACCTCCGCTCCTAGACTGAAATGTTAATCACTCCCTCCTTGCTATAAAACGTATACCTTTTCATTTCCAACCCTCATAATCAGTCCTGATAACAATTATTCACTATTATATCACAAGAGACCTATCTGCATCTCATTTCATCAGCCCCGCCCAGCCAGATTGGATACTACTCAGTGGAGATTCTACCTTCCCCCACGCCCTCTGGATCTAGGTTCCCTCTTGAAAGTTTGTAAGCCAGTCACTTCTTGCCTTTGTAGCCCCTTCCCCCCATTTTGGGTAGCCAATGTCCAAGTTGCCCATCCCTGTCTACTCTGTGTATGGAGGGGGTGGGAATGATCCTTGCTGTACAGATTTGTTCCCTCTTTTGAGCTACTGCATCCATAGGTATAGGTCAAGTTCATCAAATAGTATCAGATTACTCTTCTCTCCCCTCCCCCCTTCTATTTTCTTCTGGTTGACCTCTAATCATCCAGTCATTGAAGCCAGGTCAAGCGGGTATTACCTGCATGTATGGATGTTCTTGTGCATATACCCTCTCTTCTTATCAGCTAGATGCTTCACTCTCCACTCTAGTCCTCTGTGGCTATATCACTGACTCTGGGCCCAAGAGTCCCCAGGTCTTGCCACACTGCTGGCCAACCAGGTCTCCACTGGGGTTCACAGGAGTCTATTGAACGTTGTAGGGCTTAGCTCGCAGCTTCATTGCTGTTTTTCCTTACTTCCCCTTATTGGTGACGAGCATGGTCACCAATCAGAGTGTGTATTCCCATTGAGTCTTAGTATTTCCTTCCATCTTCTCTTGATGCTGTCTGCATCATTCAATAATTTGCCCAGAGAATCTTTCAATAATAAAAGTCGAGGCTTGAATTTTTTCTTCAGTTCCCCCAGCTTGAGAAATGCTGA